AACAAATAAGTGTAGTTTATGAGACATATGCACGATAAAGACTCTAAAAAGTAAGAGGTTGCTAGGCTAGTTCTAAATAAATAGGTACTAGACGTCGATACCAAGGATACCGTAATGACACATATCTGCACTTTACGAACGAAAACTCTTCCTTATGCAAACTAATCTGAATAATGCCATTATAACTTGACCTACGCTCTTTGTTCTTTTTCACCTCTTTTAGTTCTAGAACAATCATATTAATCTTGTTATCTCTGTAACATTTTGGAGGTTATTATCGCGTCAGACACTTCTCCTTCCACACTTTTTATTTTCATTCACAGACTCTTCCAGTCTTTCATTCCCAAATTTCTCCAACTTCACCAAATTTGATTTTATCAATATGAGGCTTAAGTAAACATCAAGCATCATCCATTTCATCATTCAACATCTTCTAAATCATAAATTTCAGGTAAGTTTTTCGAGTTTTCGGTAAATATTCAAGTTTTGTTGTCAACGAGTTAGAATCAATTTTTAGGTGTAGAAATGTTTTGAAATCACATGAAACATAGTTTAGAGTAAGGATTTATTTTTTACATTCTAAATAGTAAAGGACGCCATTATCGCGATATCTGAATCCCATAAATTTAAGGAGATACATCTTCGGAAAAGTTCAACGTTTCATATACTCCTCATCTACCTGAGCACGTCATGCGGCAGTTTGGGTACACCCAGACCATTCCCAGACACCCTGTTGTCTCTACTCCTCCCACCTTGACTCGTATATAGATAAATGAGATGTTTTCTGATCATCAGAGTCATTTGGTATCGGATGAGACTCAGGCTACCATAGCGTCAAATGGCTGGAGCTACGCGGACATATACATCAGGTGGTTCTTCACAGTTTCACATCCGTACATGGTATCGACTACTCCAGGAGATCCGTCGAGACCAGCTCATTAGGAGATTCTAAAGGAGCAGTAGGCTCAGCTAGAACATACTGAGGATGTCTTGCCTCGGTGTCGTCGCATAATGGAGATTGCGCGGGCAGGTATTGGCGTGGGTATCTTCCCTGAGGGGTCTGCTGTAAGGTGAGTCCTGGATGCCATGGTGGCGGAGGCACAAGAGGCACTATTGTACCGCAGACATCGCACGAGGACGAGGGTTCGATGGCCGAGGAGGCATACTAGACAGAGGAGGCACAAGAGGTAGAGGAGAGGTTGTCAAACACACCCACTAGGAGCTTGTTATTATTTTGATGTAGTACTATAGTTTGTACTCTTTTCCTAACATTGTTACTACATTTTGGATTTCGTGTTGTACGGCATTTTACTATTATATTGCTATATTATTTTGTATATCTGTTATTTTATTTGACATCGTTCTTCATAATTCATCTGAAAACAAATACATAGCTCGTTATAAAAAAACATGTTTTGATACAATTCGGAGATGTATTTTCGAAAAATTCTTGTAAATACATCTTCGAAAACATTCAAATAAAAACAGATTATGAAAGATATGTTGTTAACGTTTAAGGTTTAAATAATTTTAAAATATATCTCCGAAATATATCAACGTTTACTCAAAAGTAGAATTTATCTAAAAATATATCTCCAAAACTTAAAAGCATAAGGATAACTCCATAGCGGTGGATAAGAAATGCATTGAAGAAATTCTCATTTAAAACATGAAATTGAGAATGCCCGTGAAATGCTAAAGCTTAGGAAGGCAACATGCACTTGTATTAATTTGTTATTTTATTGAAAACTAATGGGATATTCCATTCGAATAACTTTCCTTTTCGCACGATTATCTTGTGTCCTACTTACTTTGGTAAACAAATAAAATAAAACAATTTCTTTTGACACATAAATAAATAAACTAAGACTTGAAGAAGAAAAAGGAAGGAACTGCAATGTACTAATACTACTACTCATCTTTTCAAATAAGAGAGTGACAAAAAAAATCATATTTTAGATTTTGTGTTATACAACATTTTACTATTATATTGCTATATTATTTTATACGGATTTATTTTATTTGACATCGTTTTTTATAATTTATTTAAAAACAAATATACAACTCGTTATAAAAAATAACATTCATTCTAATACATTTTGAAGATTTATCTCTGAATAATTTCTATAAATATATCTTTTAAAATATTTAAATAAAAATAAATTATATTCTATCAGCATCCGAAAATATATTTTTGAAACCTGAGAGTATAATGGTAACTCCAAATACATAGACGAAATTCTCATTTAAAACATGAAATTAAAAAAGCCAATGAAATGCTAAAGCCTAGGAAGGCAATACGCACTTGTACTAATTTATTATTTTATTGAAAACTAATGGGATATTCCATTCGAATACCTTTCCAATTCGCACGAGTATCTTGTGTCCTACTTACTTTGGTAAACAAATAAAATAAAACAATTTCTTTTTACACATTAATAAATAAACAAAAACTAAAAAAAAAAAAAAAGGAAAAGGAAATTTCGAGCACAACTGTATTGTAATACTACTGATCTGTTCACACAAGAGAGAGGCAAAGAAATCACACTTTTTGTGACATGACATGTGTAGCAGCACAATCGTATTAGGGAAGTAAAAAAAGGTACAAACACAAGAAGTGGCCACAATCCGAAACAACGTAGGAAGCATCACCGACACCGTAATATAAAGGAAAACTCTGTGCCCACAGATTCTTATTTGAATATTACCAAATTCATTTATGTCAAAATCCACTCATAATGGATAAATAAATCTCTATTTTCTAAAGTTGTTCACTTTTTTTAATTAAAAAAAAGTTATTCAATTTTTTTAATACTATAACTATTCTTAATTGTAATATTCTCTATTTGAAAAAGATATATTTAAATATATAGTTGTATGTCAAACTTCTTTATTATTTAAAACACTTTTAATTTATTTGTATGTCTTAGAAACCACCATAAAATAGGAAAAAAAAATTTATTCACGTTTGTAAATTATATTCTAAATAGAAAAAAATAATAATAGTATGTATTTACATATATGCTTTAAATAAATATAAAAAAGAAAATTTTGTTTCATATATGAATAATTAGTATCAATATCAAACGTGCAAAACATATTATCATAGTAGATTTAAAAATTAATATAATTAAACTATAACTAAATAAAATTTTATAACATATTTATCACAATTAAATTGTGTTAAAATAAAAATTTATTTATTTTGTTATCATTCTAAAAATTTAAAGTAGCTCTATTTACTATTAATTTTAAAATATATGTTTTAAATAAAAATTTAATGTGTTAAATTTTGTAATAAAATAATTATTTTAAATATAATTATATAAAATTTATTTTGACTAAAAGTTAATGTAAAGTAATTCATATTTAAATATATTTATGTAAAAGTGAGTTGAACATAAATTTTATTATAAAAGTTAATTTTAAAATTAAAATATTAATTTTTAATTTTCAATAATCTTTTTTGTCTAATTAATAACAAATTTAACGATCAATTTTTAAATTTTTCTATTATTAATTAAATGAAAATGACCGACATAACGTATTTTAAAGAGTTAAAAAGCCAATCTGATACAAAATATAATTAAAAGACTAATCTAAACTTAAGTGATAAAAAGAGTATTTTGCCAAAAATAAATCTCTTTTAATCAAATGGATAAATAAGAAAAGGTAGTTAGTAAAATGGTTGGCGCGTGTGTTTTGTTGTATATAAAAACACGACGATGTATCAGACGAAATTGAGAGATTTTCTTAATCTAATTCTTCTTCTTCTTCTAGTTCTAGATTCCGACTCGCCGTGTTGACTCGGTCCGGGTCGGGGTTTTAGTACGACTCATTTCTGAATCTTGATTTTCAATTCTCACGCGGATCTAACTCTTCTGCAACCGAGGTAATTCTCATGATTCTCATTATGTAATTTCCGTTTTGCTTCGTTTTACACACTTTCCCGCAAATTTTCGAATTCGGATTACGTAATCACGATGCTTGAGTTGACGAAGTTTTTGGTTTATTTTTTTATACAATTGTGATCTAACTTTGATTTTCATTAGATCTGATTCTGTGCTGTGTTGTTGAAGTCTCTGTTTCTTTTTTGTTTATATTTATTGATTTATTTACCTGCTTAGTAGTTTCTTACTTCAATGTTCATGGATTTGTATTTCGATTTTCTACTGAAAATTATGAATGAAGTCCCTATACATGTAATGAAGTGCTTACACCGGGAACGCGACCGACACTGACGAGACACCGATAATAATTTGAAAATTTGAGTAAATTAAACTAATAACAAGGGTTGGTGCAAGTGTTTGACACGAACACGAAAACGGACAAGTTAAATGAGAAACCTTATGAAAAATTGAGGTTCACATGTTAATTTGAACTTATAGAAGAAGCCATTGGTTAAATGCTTTTGTTTATTACAAGATTCTTTTAATATTTCTTTCCCCGCAAGTTTGTGGAGAAATTTAATCGAACTGACTCGAAGCAGTGTGATTTACTTGAAGGATTGTGGAACAATTTTTTAAGTAAAGAAGATATATGAAATGTTTCTTCATTTTGGAAGAAGGAAACAGATGCAGATGTACTTTAAATTGCGTGTAGAACACTATATATTTATCTTTCTGTGCACCTTAATTGAATCCTCTTTTGTCATTCTCATTGAAAAGTTGTGGCTAATTAGCTGGATTTTGTTTTTGTTTTTCATATTTAGCTAAACTTTGTATTCATGAGATGACACGTAAATTGACCTGTGTCATGCTCTATAGAACACCCGTCTGTTCATGATCTACTTGCCAGTTGTTTGCTTAAGTATTCAGTGAAAGTCATTCTTTCTATCAGAGCACCGATTATATATAGGACTTGGTGGAATCTATCTGCTCATATTTCAGATCGCATTCTCTGTTGGCTCATATTGATCTATTTCAGATCGCATTCTCTGTTGGCTTATATTGATCTGTTTTTAATTTTAAACTCACAGGAAAACAAAGGGCTTTATCACAATGAAGGCATTGATTCTGGTTGGAGGGTTTGGAACTAGGTTGAGGCCATTGACACTCAGTGTCCCAAAGCCTCTTGTTGATTTTGCTAACAAACCCATGATTTTGCATCAGGTAAAGCTATTCTAAACACTCTTTTCCTGCAACTTTTATGTCTGTCATTTTCTAGAATACATTAGGGATATGCTTTATTGTTGAATGCTTTCTTAATGCAGCATATGATGCCTTTCTTTCTACATGACAGGGACGCGTCAAATTTTTTATAATTCCTCGGTTTCATACATTAGGAAAACCACTCTTTTATTTGTGCATCTATGAGCATGCTGCAATTATATATGTGCATATTTTATTTCGTCTTCCCTCAATATGACATAATAAACTATTTTACTGATATACGTTCTTAATTTTTGATTTGGCTTGCTTTTCAGATAGAGGCTCTTAAGGCCACTGGAGTTACTGAAGTGGTACTGGCCATCAATTACCAACCAGAGGTAAAAAGGATCCACCTCTTTTTAAAACATTGTTTTAATCAATGCTTCATGAGATTTTAGTGTGGCTCAAGTTTCTTTATTCTGACTTTGGTAATACTTCCTACTTCAGGTTATGTTGAATTTCTTGAAGGATTTTGAAGCAAAGCTAGGCATTAAGATTAGTTGTTCACAAGAAACTGAACCACTAGGAACTGCAGGCCCCTTGGCTCTTGCTAGGGATAAGCTGCTAGATGAATCTGGAGAGCCATTTTTTGTTCTCAACAGTGATGTTATCAGTGAGTACCCACTTAAAGAAATGATTGAGTTTCACAAATCCCATGGAGGGGAGGCTTCCATAATGGTTACAAAGGTAACAAAAATAACAAAAAAGTTATTGCACATATGTGAGACTGTATATAGAATAAAAGTTAGAGCATCTATTCATATTGCTTTTGATTAACTTTTATAGGTTGACGAGCCATCAAAATATGGTGTTGTTGTAACGGAGGAGACCACAGGGAAGGTTGAGAAATTTGTTGAGAAACCGAAGTTGTTTGTTGGTAACAAAATCAATGCTGGAATTTACCTATTGAACCCATCTGTTTTGGATAGAATTGAACTGAGGCCCACTTCTATCGAAAAAGAAATTTTTCCAAAGATTGCTGCAGAGAAAAAGCTATTTGCAATGGTCCTTCCTGGATTCTGGATGGACATCGGACAACCGAGGGACTATATTACTGGCTTGAGGCTTTACCTGGACTCATTGAGGAAGAAGTCTTCTTCTAAGCTGGCCATTGGCTCTAACATTGTGGGGAATGTCATTGTTGATGAAACAGCCAAAATTGGCGAGGGCTGTCTCATTGGACCTGATGTCGCTATCGGTCCCGGCTGCATTGTTGAGTCTGGTGTGAGGCTCTCACGCTGCACAGTAATGCGAGGCGTCCGGATTAAGAAGCATGCTTGCATTTCCAGCAGTATTATTGGGTGGCATTCCACTGTTGGACAATGGGCTCGAGTGGAGAATATGACTATCCTTGGAGAAGATGTTCATGTTTGTGACGAGATTTACAGCAACGGAGGTGTTGTTTTGCCCCACAAGGAGATTAAGACAAATATTCTGAAACCCGAGATTGTCATGTGAGATCAATGTTTGCTCGGCGTGTGGTATGGAGGTAGCAACAAGTAACTTATCGAGTCTGAAATATGTTTGTTCTGCTCACTTCATTTTTTCTTCATCCCATTGCTTTTCTTTCCCCCTGTAGTGTACTAGTCAGTTTTTGGATTAGAATGAGTGATGCCATTACAATGTTGAAAGGTCATAATCGTTGTAAAGGGCATAAGTTTGATATTTTGTGCAATAGTTGTGTAATTTAAAGTTATGTATAGAAATAAATTATCAGTTGTAGTTGTTTCTCTCAAGTCTTTGCAACTCACTAGCAAGAAACCAAGTATTTCTATATAAATTTATTGACATTATTGATTTCATGAATATTTGTATGATACATGATGATCTATGTTGGTTGAACCCTCTTTTTATAACCTATAATTTGCTAAATTAAGGACTATTAGACTAACAAAATCAAAGTGGCTTGGTGCAATAATCATGATGTGTGCTTCCCGTAAAAAACTTAGCTAGACCTATTTCAATTATATGTTTGAATGACGTATGCTTCCCATCTAGTACACGTCTTTAGGCAATTATTGTACATACACTTCTATTTAAATTTTATGGTTGAATGATGTGTGCTAGCCAAGAATAAGACAAATAGATGAGTTGGTACTCTTGCTGCCCACGCTTAACATGTTTCCATATTATTATGGGTTGATGATAGGGATGACAATTTGTTACATATTCAATTCAATGTTATCCACAAAAAAATATTTACAATAGATAAGATAAACCATGTATAAAATTTTACAAGCACGATATAAGTATTCAGTAAAATAAATAGGTATGAGAAGGTTTGGGTATTAAACAGGATTTCAATGCAAATTAATCTTACGGATAGAGGCATCATCACTATCCGCCACGAGAAAGTTTGTGTATGTTATAAATTAATCTTGCGGATAGAGACATCATCACTATCCAGCATGAAAAGGTTTGTGTATGTTGTATCATCACTATCCGGCATGAGAAGGTTTGTGTATGTTGTAAATTAATCTTGCGGATAGAGACATCATCACTATCTGCCATAAAAAGGTTTGTGTATGTTGTTTTCAAGTTGATGAACATAATAATTACAACTTCGTAACATGCCCTTGAATCAAAATGGTTTGGAAGGAGGTTGAGAATTGGGTAGGGCTAGAGTATGATAATTGTGGGATCATATGTTGACTTGGTTTTCGGAAGCGAAACGGACAAGTGCGAAGTTGAATTTGTGCTTGCTTTGGTTGGCTATAAGTTGAAGCATATGAAGGACTAGAAACCAAGTGATCTTTAATGATGGTGTAGTAAATCCTATTGAAATTTTCATTGAATCCAATCTTCGTATGGTGGTGGCTGACACTTAATTCACCTTACACTATTAGGTGCAATTTTTACGAGTATGTTCGATAAATTTCTTATAACATGTTAGATTATTGTATAATTATATACAGTCTTATTGTCTGAAATTGAAATTTTGCTCTTAAAAAATATATAATGAGTTGGAGTACTCCTAATATCTCTTACAATACATTTTGATTAACAAAAATATTATTAAAATAGTCTTTTCAATAGAGCATTTAAATGGAATATTCCTTCTTATAGTCCGGTCCTCCACATTTTTAGAGAGTAGATTGAAAATTTTCCAAAACTTTCTTTACTATTCGCATTTCTAAAAATTCATATATGGCTAAGAAGTGATTTTTGCTGTGAAAAAAGCTGTTGCAGAAATATTCATGAGCTAATTTTTCCTATTTCTAATGACTAGACCATGTGATGAAGGTCTACATAACACAACAAAAATTGGATACTTTCCAACCACTACAAAGAAATAATTGGAGATAGTGGATAACATATCATAATAGAGTACTGAATAGTAATTGCTCTTATCTTCAAGTTTTATCCCTTAGCTTGAATTTTGTGTGGAAATTGTGATGGATTTATTGGGAGTATATAAATCTAATATATGATTAATATGTACGAAGAGACATCAATTACGATGATTTTTTTTATTACAATAGGATTATATTAATGTTCAACCTTAAACTCTTGTTTTATTTATTTTAATTTTGAATGTATTTACGGAACACATCAAAATGAAAATAGTTTCTAATTGAGAGGTAAAAATTGAAAACATGTTATCAAAAATTTAATATAAAATTTACCATTTAAATTAAAAGAAAATTTTTATCGAACAACGATAAAAATTACAACGTTATATAAAATAGAATGTTGAATGATTAAAAATCAATACGAGAATAAAGTAAATGTAATATATTTTATATATATATATATATATATATATATATATATATATATATATATATATATATATATATATATATATATATATATATATATATATATATATATATATATATATAAAAGAATGTTTTGCAACAATAATTTCACATGTGTTGAAGTGGTCCAGTTGCGCAAATAATGCTCTTATGCATGGCCCCAAACATTAATATCACGTGACAAGAAACGTTGTGCTTATTAGACATTGCCTTTAATATATTTGTCTATATTATAACTTTTTCAGCACAATAGGAAGAAGTGGGGCATGATTTTGTTAGTGCAGTACCTTAGACCCCACCTCATGACAAACGAAAGGATGACACTTTTCCCACTCATATAGCCATCCGGAAAAACACATGATTTTTGTGTGTCATGTATGAATTTTTTGTTCCAATCTAAAGAAAAATGGGGTGGTGACAGGTTTTTCAAACGAAAATGGTTACTTAGTAGGAGTATTCATGGTGTCCGGGAACACGCGGATTTAAACCAAATCAATTTATAAATTACTTGATTCGTTTATTTATGGGTATACTCAATTTAATCGGTAATAATTTGTATAATTTTAGTTTGGATATCGAATTTGAGTTTTGCAATCTGTTGATCTAATCTATTGATGTGATATTAGTAATTTCTTTCTTTTAATTATTATTTTAAATAAAAATATAAAATTAATATTTCACTAATAAATATAATTCTTCCAAAAACGTTTTATTCTCCACGAATGATACTACTAGACTAATGAGTTTATTTAATTCTAGAATTAAATGTTGTTTATTATTTCTTTTGTATCATTTTCAACTTATATATTTTATGGAGATAACATGTATTGTTGAATTTTATACTATTATCAAGTGTTATGTCGTGTTGATGAATTTATTTGATATTATATGATGTGTTTTTATCGAATTTGAGTATTAAAAATGAGTATAATTGTATTGAGTTGTGTTTCAATTTTTTAAATAGAAAAAAATTATTAAAATAATATGTTTTATTTGAAAAACAATCTGCGAATCCAACTTAACGTCCCAACTCATAAACGAACGGGTTGGTTCGTGTCAGTTTTGACAAATAAAATGCGGGTTCGATACGAATTCAACTCATTGAAGTTTGAATGTGTTAGGTAACAGGTTAGGTTAAATTCAGTCCAACCCAATCTGTGTACACCCCTATTACTTAGTGTCATACCCCAATTTTAACCCTGCATCGCCGAATCAATACTGTTATTATAGCATTTATAACATCTGCATAGCATAACATGCATTTCATCTCGTTCAATACCCAAATTGTCAGTCAGGATAAACTTGTTGGATTTACAAACAAATCAGTCAAACTGAATGTCAGCTATGCGTAAAATCAGTGGACGAAAATTTTCAAAATTGAGCTTGCAGACGTTAGTTATATTAATCTATGTTCCGCATAGTTTAATTTGGCGTACTCGTTTTAATTTTTCGACTGCTTTTTGGTCGCATTTTGATTAGTCTGAGCCTTTTAACCGAGAAAAATTTATTTCGAAACTTGACCAAACGTTGTATTTTTCCGAGTCGTTTATTCCACGCTGATCATTTTGGTGCATTTATTTTATTTTTTCGAGCATTTTGATACCAAACTATTTACTCGTTTTTAATCGATTTTATTTTTATTTTTTAGTTAATTAATCTTTTTAATTTAATTTAAATTCAATTAGGATTTAATTATTTAATATTAGTTTAATTATTTTTTATAATATTTAATTTTTTGTTTTTTATTTCTTTTTGAAAAGACTTAACTATTAACTTTTAAAAAGTTATTTGATTTTGAGTTTCATTTTGAGAAAAATCTGAGATTACACGAATTGTCTTGGTCACTTTCATATTATCATATTATTTCTGGACCATTACTTTGGCTTTCTAGCACAAAAAAGACTTGTTTTCAACACCCTCATATTATCTATCACATACTTACTCACTCACAAAAAACCAAAATACACTACCACCAACATAAAGAAATGTAGGCCCTTCATTTTCACAACAGTTCACATGTCTCCACATATCACTCAACACACTACATCAATCTCCCTCATATTTTTGATCTCCTTCTACTTTTACATACTCAGTAACACACTATAAGTTATTGTCCATTATTATTTGCCTTAATCATCTTTTTGTATCATTTTTTTGTATGTGAAAGCACCACCTGAAACCATCCTAATACCATATAATATTGCTCCCTCATTCATTTTTCCCCTAAGCCAACCGTAACATACCCCCTCAACTTCATCCCATTCCAACTTACCCCACCACGAAACCAACTTTGGCAAAACCTCTCTCCACCCTCCGCCCTGCAAAACTTCATCACCATCATCTTCGATCCACTCTGAAACAAACATCTCCACCATTCAGAATCGTGTCAGACCATCTGCATACTCGCTCCGCCTACGAACATAGAATTACCAACAACAATCTTCTACTATACTCCTCCGACAACACCTTCAAACTCCCTATGTTCACAAATCGTCACCGACCACTCTCTTCCTCTGCCTTGTCCGCCTGCATAACCACCATAAATTACCTTTCAACTACTCCCACTTTCATCACCTTCACAACTCAACAAACCTTCTTTATTCTCCATAATACACACATGTCTAACATCAACTAACTTCTGATGAATCACAACTCTCTCCGTCAAAACCAAGCAAGAATCGGTACGAGGTGAACTCA